TGGGCCTTGCGAACCGTGGGGCGCGGCGTCACTGCGGGCTTGGTGTCGCGCCTCGGGCTGGGCTGCCAGGGAACACCCGGGAGTCAGTCCTGGCCACTCCGGAGGCGGGGATCTGAAAACCCTAAGAGGCGCTGTGGCCCAGGTGGTAGAGTGCTGGCCTGGAGCAAAAACGTTCATGGGTGGTGCCCAGTCCCTGAGTTCAAACCCCGCGCGTGACCGACGAAAGGAAAACAACAGCAACAACAAGCAAAAAGTCAGGCGCATTCAACACATAGATGATAGAAAAGTTCTAAGACTAGAAGCTCACTAGGAGGTTGGCAGGCTTGGAGTTATTTGGGAACTTGCTGATTTGGACCCAGTGTCATCTGAAGCTTGTGTTTAGCTCTTCAGCCTTCCTGTACTGCCGTTGTTGCTTACCAGGCTGTGTTCTTCAGGGGACCATGTTTTATTCACCCTCTTGCTAGAAGGCTGATACATTCCAGGAAGATGACATTAGTAGAAAGCAAAACAGGTAACCCTCACCTTCGAAACTCAGGACTAAACAGGTTCTTAAGAGTACTTAAGGCCTCACATACCACTGGAATTATATGCAACTTATTTAGTGGTGCTGGGTATTGAACCCAAGATCTTGCATGTGGTAAGCAATCACTCTGCCTCTGAGCTACATTCTTAGCCTTCCTCAAGGATAATTTATTGCTCAAGTGTTAGTTTTACAACTGAAGAAATAGATGCTGGAAGGTCAGGCTCTTGGTATCAAACAGGCCTGAGACAAAGGCCAGATGGGATGTAGATCTGTGGACAGTGAGTCCAGCACCCTCTATCACGTTTGACTTTGCCTTCTCTTGTTCCCTTAAGAAGATGTTAGAGTAAGTAAAATGCTTATTTATGCATTTACACCATTAACACTACCAAAAAACTTAATGCAAGACACTAAGAATGGAAGCACTGAATCAGAACAATGAGTGTGGCACTACAGTAGGCTATAGCACTAAGACACTACAGTTTGCAGCATCTTTTTTCCATTTAAGAGTTTCTTTCCCATTTCTGGTAGTTCGATTGTAGGCATTTTAGGTATGTACAAGATTACAAAAAAACATACAAACCAACTGAACTGGTGAAAAAGCTGGCATTATCAGAAGATAGGGCAGTAATTAAGATACCACTACACTAAGGTAAAAAAAAATACTATTCTTTCAAAAAGTAGTCAGAGATGTTGAGAAACCAAATCTTTCCTGCATTATGGGTAGAAATGTTAAATAGTGGAAGTGGCGCTGTGCCTAAGGTGGTAGAGCTGAAGAGCTCAGAGACAGCGCCCAGGCCGAGTTCAAGCTCCATAATCGACAAGAAAAGAAAAGAAAGGTTAAATAGTGAAATCACCCTGTCTGGCAACATCTCAAGGAAGTTAGGTCTGCCATACATTCCTGAGATTTGTTCTAGAGAAATGTAACTGCTTCACACAAAACTCATCTATGAATGTTAAGAAGAATCTTATTTGTAATTGCCCCAAACTGGAAATAGCCCAGATGCCCCTCATGTAATGACTGGTTAAACAGACTGGCAGGTGTATACTCTGAGGTGGTCCTTAGCAGGGTCCACTCAACAACCTGGATGGCATTCGGGGGCTTTGTGCTAAGTGAGAAAAGTCAGTGGCAAAAGGTCTGAAACTTTATTGTGATAGAAACAAATTAATAATAACCAGTGTTGGGGACAGTGGCAGAGGTTGGATGTCACTGTAAGGAGCAGCAGGAGGGAGATTTTTGGTGACAGGACATTTTTTTTTTCTTTTTTTGTCAGTTGAACTCCGGGCCTGGGTGCTGTTCCTCAGCTCTTCAGCTGAGGGACCGCTTGAGCCACAGCATCACTGTTTTCTGAGTGGTTTATTTGAGATAAGAGTCTCACGGCCTTTCCTGCCCCAGCTGGCTTTGAACTGCGATCATCACGTGAGCCACCGGCGCCCAGCGTGATGAAACATTTCTGTGTGCTCATGGTGAATAGGCAAGTCTGTACATGTGATAAACTGTCAAGAACCCTTACACAAAAAGAATGCCTGTAGAGATTGGCTAGATCCACAGTTTGTTCACTGTATTATGTGAGGTTGGTTTCCTGGTTTTGATAATATACCATAGTTATGTACAGCTTACAAGGGAAACGGGGTGATGAGCCCATGGGAACACTGCTCCAGTTTTGCAACCTCTTTTGATTCAACAATCATTTTAAAATAAAAAGTTAAAGAAATTGTGTATACCATTGACTGAGATTCCCTACTTGTTAGTATTTTACATGACCATACTGCACCTATGAGAAGGAGGAGTGAATGATACTGTACTGTTGTCGATACTACAGACCTAGCACAGTTCTCCACATCTCTGCCTGCTTGTCTGTCTGTCACATAGTCTATGCAGGTCAGTCAATCTACACAAGACTAGTGATGTTTTACCAACTCTTAGATTTCAGTGCTGCATCAGTGAGCTTATAGGCTCAGGGGCCAGTGAATTGTGGTCCCCACTTGTCTTGTGAGTAAAAGCTCCTTAGAGCACAGTGCTGCATTCTTATGTGTAATTAATAGCTGTTCTTGAGTGCTGGAGTGGCGTCCTGGCTCACAAAATTTCAAGTGCTACTCTGGCCCTTCCAGGAGAGGTTTCCTGACCCCTGATCTCATCACAGGTCCCTTTCTGTGTCAGAAATAAGAATGTATTTAATCATTTGCTTCATTGTAGAATAAATATAAAATAACTTCAGAATACCTACCCATTCTATTGTGGGAAACATAGCCATTAGTTTTTGTAATTGTGTACAGTGCTTTTCTAGAGACACCCTGGTTTTCAGAGTCACTTGAGTCAGTTTCCACCACTCTTGTTATCCATTGCAATTTGTTTTGGTTTGTGTTGCATTTGGGGATCTCCACCATCTTTGTTGCTTGCCTCTTGAGTATCAGAATAAATATCTAAATACTTAAAATCAGAAATGTTACTCTTCTTCCTTACCCTCTTTTCCTGGTTCCTTCCTAGTCTAATTTGTTTTTTTGTTTTCTTTTTCTTTTTTTTTTTTTTGGTCAGTCGTGGGGCCTGAACTCTGAGCCTGGGTGCTGTCCCTCAGCTCTTCAGTTCAAGGTTAGCGCTCTACCACTTGAGCCATAGTGCCACTTCTGGCCTTTTCTGCTTATGTGGTACTTAGGAATCGAACCCAGGGCCTCATGCATGCAAGGCAAGCACTCTACCACTGAGCCACTTGCCCAGCCCCTCCTAGTCTAATTTGTAACCAAGCCTATGAGTTTCTATCTTAGCTTTGTTTCTGTGTATACATACGAACACAAAGAGAGACTCCACTACTAATACACTGTTAGTAATAGTATACATTTTGGTACTTGTTTTTTGTCAGTCATGGGGCTTGAACTCGGGGCCTGGGTACTGTCCCTGACCTTTTTTGTTCAATGTTAGCACTCTTACACTTTGAGCCACAGTGTCAATTCTGGTTTTCTGAGGTAAGAGTCTCATAGTCTTTACTGCCCAGGCTGGCTTTGCACTGAGATAATGAGATCTCAGCCTCTTGGATAGCTAGGATTACAGGTGTGAACCTCCAGTACCTGGCCCCTTGTTTTGTTTTCTTTAATGTTATGTATTGCCCAACAGGAATTTCCTCTGTAGCCCATATGGCTTCAAACTCTGGACCCTCCTGCCTCAGTCTCTCAAGTACTGAGATGATAGGCATATAACATCATGCCTGACCTTACGTTTTTTTTGTTTTTATTCTGACTTTCTAGCATGCTGTTATTCACTCTGAAATATTAAGGCTTTGTTCTTTTACATCTTAATAATTGTAACTGACATTTGTGGACAATCAGTGTCAGAATTGATAGTACAGACTCTACGTGCATCATATCTAATTTTCATTGTAAACTAAATGTAGAGCTGTTAGGTCTGTTTTATAGGGAAGGAACCTAAGGCTTAGAGCTTAAAAAAATTGGTAGAGGTCATAGTGATGTAACATAAGGTTATATAGTTCTATTTAGGTTTGCTTGGTTGCTCGGACAAAACCTAAAACTACTAGGACAAGCTTGAAAGGTGACTTCAGAATAAGGACTCTGTGTGAAAGGCGGGGTCCTGTGGGGAACTGTCTTCTACCACTGAAGTACACTCCCAGCCCAGCAAGTTGATTGTCGCTCTCTTGACTTTAGGTGACATGACAATGGATGCCGTGTTAGCTAAGTTGAAACTCCTGGATCCAGATGACCTTAGAGAAGAAATTGTCAAAGCTGGCTTGAATTGTGGACCCATTACATCAACCACAAGGTTCATTTTTGAGAAGAAATTGGCTCGGGCTTTACTAGAACAAGGTGGAACCTTGCCTCTGTGTCTTCCCAACCCCAGTGAAGCAGCGCCTCCAGCATCCAGGCAGAGTGGACCACGGGTCCCCACTTGTGCCAGAGTAGAACAGACCAAGTTTTCCGAAGACAGAGATTTTGGTTACAATGTGGGCTTGAACCCTCCAGAGGAAGAAGTTATGCCATCTAAGCCCTGTCTGTTGCCCTTCAGCCCTTCAGTGGAAATTGACGCCCACAAGACTGGAGTGACAGCATCTAAGGAGCGAGCCCTGTACTATGGAGTTTGCCCGGGGAACGAGGATGGTCCTATGAGAAGTGGTAATGTGCTCACTCCCTAAGCTTAACTGTTCGTGACATTGGTTACCTTCCTAAATGTTTTATAAATCTAAGGAAGAAGATTTATATTTGTTAAGGAAACTGGATACTTAAAATGCATGACTTAAAAATACTGATTATTTACTATTTGTAGGCTGTTGTGTGTGTGTGTGTGTGTGTGTGTGTGTGTGTGTGTGTGTGCACGCGCGTGCACATGGGCAACGGTCCTGAGGCTTGAACGCAGGGCCTACACTCTGTTCCTGAGCTTTTTTTGCTATCGGCTAGTGCTCTACCACTCGAACCAGCTTGACTTCTGGCTTTTTTGGTGACTAATTGGAGATGAGTTTCACAGATTTTCCTGCCTAGGCTGGCTTTGATCTGCAGTCCTCAGATCCTTAGTGCCTGGCTTGTTAGCAACTTTGATTAATCATCTTCTACCTTGTTAAATTTTAAAAATTAAAAAATTTAACCTGAATGTGTTTTAGATTAATGATTACAGATGACCATTGAGTGTAAAATAAAGTTATCAGCAGCAAAGAATGATGATTTTACACAAAACTTAGCATTGGAAACCATAATGGAAACTTGATGTCGATTGGAATTATCAGCCAGGTGCCAATAGCTCACACCTGTAATCATAGCTACTTGGAAGGCTGAGATCTGGTTCAAAGCCAACTGCAGCAGGAAAGTCTGTGATACTCTTCAACTAACAACAAAAAGCCAAAAGTAGAGCTGTGGCTCAAGTGGTAGAATACTATCCTTAAGTGCAAAAGTTCAGAGACAGCACCCAGGCCCAGATTTCAAGCCCCAGGACTGGAAAAAAATAAATTGCATGCTGTTACTATGCTTGTGCTCATATTTTTGGTAATGCTTGAGAATGGGAGATTGGTTAAAAATACCCTGCACATTGTATGGAGTACAATTGTATGTTTTGATTTTGTTTTTTGCCATGCTAAGGATATAGCCCAGGCACTCAAGAGTAGTAGACAAGCACCTGCCACCAAGCTGCATCCATCCCTGGTTCAACCATCTGATCTTTTCAGTGAAAAGTCAGTGATGTTGGGAAATGGCCATGATGGGGTTTTTAATCTTTATTGCTATAGAAGTAGCTTATTGTAGAAAACCCTCAGTTAAGCCAGGTGCTGTGGCTCACACCTGTCGTCTCAGGAAATGGAGAGTGAGAAGATAGCCAGTCAAGGCAAGCCTGGGCTGAAAGTTGGCAAGATCCCATCTTAACCAATAAAGCTAGGCATGGTGGGTGCGCCTGCCGACTCTACTACGTAGGTAGGTGTAGGTAGGTAGCCCCAGGTGAATATGTGAGATCCTACAGAAAAGTGACCTTAAAGAAAACAAAGCTGGAAGTGGCACTGTTGCTCAAGTGGTAGAGCGCTCGCCTTGAGCTGAAGAGCTGAGGGACAGTGCCCAGGCCCAGAGTTCAAGCCCCACAACCGCCAAAAAAAAAAAAAGAAGAAAACAAGGCTGGAGGCATGGCTTAAGTGGCACAATATAGAGCCCTTAGTTCAAACCCTAGTACTCCCCAAAATAAAATAATCTTTATTGTAGTATAATACAAAAAGTACATATAGCATATATGAAAAAAAACACTATTACTTGTGAGCTGTAACCACTTCCTGCATCATACCTGACCCCTGTTTATAGATTTTATATTTTTAAACATTTTTATTTCTAATTTGTGTGTGTGTGTGTGCGCATGCGCTCACGTGTGCACACACACACACACACGTGCACAGGGCTTGAACTCTGGGACTGGATGCTGTCCCTCAGCTCTTCAGCTCAAGGCTAGTGTTCTACCACTTGAGCCACAGCGCCACTTCCGGCTTTATCTGGTTATGTGATGCTAAGGAATCGAACCCAGGGCCTTTTGCATGCAAGGCAAGCACTGTACCACTAAGCCACCTTCCCAGCCTCTCTAATCTACTTTAATAAATATGTTTTAACTTAAGTGTACAGACAAATATATGAATGAATACTGTTTTTATTTTTATTTATTTTATTTTTGGTGCAGCTCCTAAGGCTTGACTCAGGGCCTGGGCATTGTCCCTGAGATTTTTTGCTCAAGAAGTACAGATCCAAGAAAGTGTCTAAAGTATCTGTAAAACCAAAAATGTCACCCCTCTTTTTTTTTTTTGAGTCCGGTCGTGGGGCTTGAACTTTTCAGCTCAAGGCTAGCACTCTAACACTTGAGCCACAGCGCCACTTCTGGCTTCTTTCTTTTTGCTTATGTGGTGCTGAGTAATTGAACCCAGGGCCTCAGGCATGCAAGGCAAGCGCTCTACCACTGAGCCACCTTCCCAGCCCAATGTCACCCCTCTTAAATATATTACAGTCTATGCAAATAGGGAGAGCTAATGTCTCCTTTCCATTCAGGATCTTGTTACTTATCTCTAGTTTTTCTTTGTTACTTTTCCTAATTAGAAAGGATCCATGTTTATGAGGACAAAAACGAAGCATTACAAGCTGTCAAAATGATTAAAGGGTCCCGATTTAAAGCTTTTCCAACCAGAGAAGATGCTGAGAAATTTGCTAGAGGAATTAGTGATTATTTCCCATCTCCAAGCAAAGCTGCGCCAACTCTGTCTCCTGTGAAGATAGCTCCACTCTTCGGCAGTGTTGGGTTGAAAGGTAAACCATATTGTGGTTCATTGCTATCACTCACTCCAAAAATATCTTGACTCCTCTCTCCCAATGTATGGCAACTCCATTTCTCCTTCTCTGAGAGAAATCTGATGTGGCAGAAGGGAAAAGAGCTGAGGTCCTGGCAGTGAATAGCCCCAGGGAAAAGGAGCTAAGAGCTGGGCTAGGTAGGTTCAGGGATACACTGGTAGGTTCAGAGAAGATTCTGGGAGAGGCTGAGTGGGCCTGAAGCCATTTGGCCTCTGTCTGACTCCTGTCACTCTTCCTGCTTCCAGCTAGATTCAGGGTACTACTGAGGCTGAGATCAATCTGCATTCCCATCTGAGAAATCTATGAGTTGGCCTCCTCTGGTGGAACCAGAAATCTCACTGCATCTGCTTCTCAACTCAGCCAGGGTCCTGTTGGAGAAGCTTGACCTTGGTTCTAGTTCCCTCCCACACAATGGTATAGGCTTTGCAAGTGGCTGGGTTTAGAGAAAAGGGGCCCTGACCTGCGCAGCTGGCCCTTGGCCAAAGGCTTGTTTGCCTCTTTCTTACATGGTCTCCCTCAGGTTGAGAAAGTTCCCCTGAAGGAAATCAAGTTAAATCATACTTAGGCATTGTGATTAGACCCATGAAACATTTGGAGCAGTTCTTACTCTGCATGAATACTTACATGTTGGAGAATTCCTGTGATGGCTTCTGACTTTTCCTTCACCCAGTTTTGTAACAGATCCTACAAGTGTGCCAAATAATGTCTTGTTCTCAGAGGCTTTTGGCCATCTGATTCCATTCAGCAATGCCCTTTACCATCTTTGCCTCTTACCTGTTCTCAAGACCTACTGAGCCTCTGTTGGAAGGCTGTAGCCCTTAGCACAGCAGAGTGGGTAAGAAGCTATGAAATTGAGTATTCCTTAATTGTATCTCTTCATGACAGATGGATTATGCTTATCTGAATTGGAAACAGTAAACAAAGAGCGAGCAAACAGTTACAAAAATCCTCGAACACAGGACCTCACAGCCAAGCTAAGGAAAGCTGTAGAGAAGGGTGAGGAGGACACCTTTTTGGATCTTATCTGGAGTAACCCCCGATATCTAATTGGTTCCGGGGACAACCCAACCATTGTACAGGTAAGTCTGCCTTCAGCATTATTTGTGCCATGTGGGTCACTGTACTTACTATAAAAAGACTGACAAAAATTCAGCCCAGAACACATGGTATTTCAGGAAGGATGTAGGTACAATGTCATGCATGTTGCTGCCAGAGAGAATCGGGCTTCCCTGTGTCAGCTGACGTTAGAGACTCTGGAGAACCCTGTGTTTATGCGGCTCATGTACCCAGATGATGACCCAGGCATGCTTCAGAAGCGTATCCACTACATTGTTGACCTATACTTGAACACTCCTGACAAAGTGGTGAGTATTTCCTCTTGAATCTCTCAGTTCAAGTGTGTGTTCCCAACATGTATGTTCTTTTATTCATTGATACTCCAGGTCATCATGCAAGGGATGTAAGAGATGTGGGAGGTTCAGAGAACTAAAAATAGACCTACTCTATGACACCATGCTACCAATTTTGGGCCCATATACAGAGGGATGTAAATTATTATACCTTCATGCCCTTGCTTAAGGCAGTATTCTTCATCATAGCCAAACAGTGGAATCAGCCAACCTACCCAACAACAAATGAATGGAAAAAGAAAATATTGTACACTCATTTTTTTCTAATTTTTTATTTTTTTGTCAGTTGTGGGGCCTGAGCTTTGGGCTTCGGTGCTTTCCCTGAGCTCTTCAGCCACAGCACCACTTCCAGCTTTTTCTGCTTATGTGGTGCTGCGGAATCAAATGCCGGGCCTCAGGCATGCAAGGCAAACACTCTACCACTGAGCCACCTTCCCAGCCCCAAATTGTACATTTATTACCACGGAATATTATATAGCCATAAAGAAAAAGATGAAGTCATTTTTTTGGTAGTAAAATGGATTGGAGAATAGCACACTGAGTGAGATGAGCCAAGCTCAAAAGGTCAGATATCCTACTCTCACATATATGTGAGTGTTAGACCTAAAAGACACACACATTCATGAACATAGACATATGTGTGTATACCCATATATATAAATATGTGTGTGTGCCTGGTGCCAGTGGCTCACGCCTGCAATCCTGGCTACTCAGGAGGCTGTGATCTGAGGATTACAATTCAAAGACAGGCCTGGAAAGGGAAGGAAAGTCCCTGAGACTTTATCTCCAATAAAACCACCAGAAAAGCCGGGCGGTGGCTCCATGCCTGTAATCCTAGCTACTCAGGAGGCTGAGATCTGAGGATCTTGGTTCAAAGCCCCTGGGCAGGAAAGTCCGTGAGACTCTTATCTCCAATAAACCACCAGAAAACCGAAAGTGGTGCTGTAGCTCAAGTGGTAGAGCGCTCGCCTTGAGCCGAAGAGTGCAGGGACAGTGCCTAAGCCCAGAGTTCAAGCCCCACGACCAAAAAAAAAAAAACCACCAAAAAACTGGAAGTGGCACTGTGGCTCAAGTGGTAGAGTGCTTGCCTAGCATGCTTGAAGCCATGGATTCGATCCCTCCGTACCACATAAATAGAAAAGGCCAGAAGTGGAGCTGTGGCTCAAATGGTAGAATTCTAGCCTTGAACAAAAGCAGCTCAGGGACAGTGCCCAGAGAAAGAATTCTTCTGAGCAAAATACATATGCACTGTATCACTTGAACCACAGCTCTACAGCTCTGCCTCTTGTTTTTTTTTTGGTGGTTAAGTGGAGTGATGAGGCCATGTTATAATATAGTGTGTGGAAATGTCACAATGATATCCTCCTTATACAACCAATTTATGGTAATTTTTTTGTGCCGGTCCTGGGGCTTGAACTCAGGGCCTAGACAAAGTCCCTGAGCTTTTTGCTCAAGGTTAGCACTCTACCACTTGAGCCACAGTTATGGGGCTTGAACTCTGGGCCTAGATGCTGTACTTTTGACTTATTTTGATGGGTAATTGGTGATGAGACGGATTACCCCATAGCTCATTTCTTTTTTAACGTTGAATGGAAAAAGACTTAATCCTTTCTCTGAGTGAAGCATGCCCTTCCTAAATTTAAAGAAGAATATCGGCTGTATCAAGTTGACCCGCAAATCTTTCTCATCCAGACCTTGCTGCTCCTCTTGGAGAGGCCTTCCCTGACCCATCGAGACAAAAACCTGTGATCCTAGTTGCTCAAGAGACTGAAATCTGAGGATCAAGGCCCAAAAGTCCCTAAGACACTATCTCCAATTAACCCAGAAGGATGGACGGGATTGGACATGTGGCTCAATTGGTGGAGCATGGGTTGTGAACAAGAGGGAGAGCATGAGACCTCGAGTTCAAGTCCAGATACTGAGGAAAAAGAAAAGAGACAGAAAACAGGCTCTTGGCTGTCATGGATCCAGGATCTCCTTCTTTTTTCTCTCTCTCTCTAGTCCCAGAGCTTGAACTCAGGGCCGGGGCACTGTCCCTGAGCTGTTTTTGCTCACGGCTAGCGCTCTACCACTTGAGCCACAGCATCACTTCTGGCCTTTTCTGTGTATGTGGTATGGAGGAATCCAGCCCAGGGCTTCATACATGCTAGGCAAGCACTCTACCACTGAGCCACCTTCCCAGCCCAGGATCTCCATCTTTGTGTTCATCCTGAGCATGTTTGTAGATCCAGGCACAAGCATGCCCTTGTCCCTCCAATGTTGCTGTGTAGATGACCTGTATCTCTGCCCAGTTGAGGGTGTCATTGTGTGTCTAGTCATGGCAGAGACCCAGGAAAGGGTCAGACCCAGAGATGAGCTGGCAGGAGCCTGCTGTAGGCCATTTCTCTTCCAGATTACAGAGCTATAAGAGATTCCAGTGAACTCTTAGGATTATTAGGGAAGTAATAGAGCTCAGACAATTGCCAGGTAAGATCAACTTAAAGTTGATGTGGCTCAAGTGGTAGAGTGCTAGCCTGGAGCAAAAGAAGCTCAGGGACAGTGTCCACGGCCTGAGTTCAAGCCCCTGGACTGGCTAAAAAATAAATAAGTCTTTTGTTATCACTAGAAAACTCTTGGTTTCCTAAGATTAATAATGGTGCTAACTAATGCCCAAATGGGCCTCAGTGAGGAGAATGTCCATTCCTCCCTCAGACCTCCCTTCCCTCAAGCGACACTGCTCCAGTGCCTACCACGCCCACCCTGAGCACACTGTGCAATCTTTCTGCAAAAGGAGATGGAATCCTGCAATTTAGCAGTATCATATGATCTTTCTGTTTAGAGGCCTTTTTATTTGTTTTGCTTAATAATGATTTTTTCACCTTAGAGCAACCACTTTACAAAGTTGAATAAACAATTGTGCTTTTACACCTTTTTCAGGGCTATGATACCCCATTGCATTTTGCTTGTAAATTTGGAAATGTTGATGTGGTCAGTGTGCTTTCTTCACATCCCTTGATTGTGAAAAACCCAAGGAATAAATACGATAAAACACCTGAAGATGTAAGTAGTTATTTAACTGCAGTTAGTATCTATTGTAAATGAAAATATGTAGGTTTGCAATCTATGAGCACAGCCATGGTGAGGTCACAATTAACTCAGGATGAGTTATATTTGCTTTCAGGCATATTTAGATTCCTGTCTGTTTAGAACCATGACAGAATGAGTTGACCTGGTCTGCGCTAGTTGTTGTTTAATGTTTTTATTGGTGGGGCTTGAACTTGGGGCCTGAGCACTGTCCCTGAGCTCTTTCTGCTCAAGGCTAGCACACTACCACCTTGAGCTACAGTGGTACTTCCACAGTCTGCCAGTTTTCTTTTTGTTGTTGTTGTTGGTGGTGGTGGTGGTGGTCATGGGGCCTGAACTCTGGGCCTGGGCACTGTCCCTTAGCTCTTCAGCTCAAGGCTAGTGCTCTACCACTTGAGCCACAGTGCCACTTCCAGCCTTTTCTGTTTATTTAAGTGGTGCTGAGGAATCAAAACCAGAGCCTCATGCATGTGAGGCAAGTACTCTACCAATGAGCCACCTTCCCAGCCCCATCTTTACCAGTTGAACAAAATGTGGTGTGCTAAATCTTATGCTTATAAACTAGGAAAAAAGACCGCTGAGAACACTAGACTATTAGTATACCAACCAGTAAAAATGAAACCCAGGTCTGGGAATGTAGCTTAGTGGTAGAGCGCTTGCCTAACATACATGAAGCCCTGGGTCCGATTCCTCAGCACCACTTACACAGAATAAGCGTCTAAAGTGGCACTGGCTCAAGTGGTAAAGTGCCATCCTTGAGCAAAAGAAGCTCAGGGACAGTGCCCAGGCCCTGAGTTCAAGCCCCAGATCTGGCAAAACAACAACAACAAAAATGTATCCTAGCTATTTAGGAGGCTAAGATCTGAAGATTGCGGTTTGAAGCCAGCCTTCATGAAAAGTCCCCATGGGACTCCAGTTAACTAAACTTAAAAACTGGAAATGGAGCAAAACAGCTCAGCATAGCACCTTGGCTCCAAGTTCAAGCCCCACAACTGACTGAAAAAAAAATACAATTCACTAACAATTCTACAACTGTGAAATTACCATTATTTACCACATATATGACTAAACTCGGTGTATGGGTTTTGTCTAACTTTTTCAATGAAAAATGTTATTTGGGTAAAAGAGATTATTAGATCACATCTATAATTCTAGCTTCTCAGGAGGCAGAGACCTGAGGGTCACAGTTCAAGCCAACCTGGGTAGGAAAGTCTATGAGACTTTTATCTCCAATTTATGAGTATAGATCTGGAGTAGAACTGTGCCTCAAGTGGTATTAGCATCACTCTTGAGAAAAAAAAAAAAGCTAAGGAATAGCTCCCAGATTCAGAGTTAAAGCTGTAGTATCAGCACAATAAAACAAAAGTAAAAGAATTCACTTTCTCCCTCTCTCCTTTCCCTGTCCCCCTCCTTCTTCTGGCCCTCTCCCCTTCTACCCTCTCTCCCTTTAGTGCTAGGGATTGAAGCCAGAGCCTTACTTATGATAGGCAAGCAGTCTACCACTGCTCGCTACACCCTCTGCTGCCCAGCTTATGACATTTTTTAAGCATTTGACTTTCTCACAACTGACTTTAAAATCTGTAGTTTGCATTCAAAATTGTATTTCTCCCATAGCTAGTAATTTTGTATTTTGCGTCTTTTCTTTCCTCTGAAGGATATTTTCCTCTTGTTACAAAAATGTTTTGTTTGTACATTCTTTGAACTCAGGGTCCTCAATCCTGCTCAGCTTTCTTTCTCACAGCTGATACTTTACCACTTGAGCCAAGCCTCCAATCCAGCATTTTGGCTGGTTAGAAGTAGAATCGCTCTGATTTTTCTTCCTGGGCTACCTTTGAGTCTCAGTCTCTTATCATCCTGAGTAGCAAGGATTATGGGCATGAGCAACACCTGCTTGGCTTAACAAAAATACTTGTATTGCTAACAATTTTATAAGGGCTCAGAAAAAGTTGTTGAAAACTATTACTTTTATTTCACCTGAGGTAGTAGCTCTAGCTCTATCTCAACCCAAGTGTACCACAACAAAAATTTATATATGGAGGATGAGCTCCCAGGAAGCGTATCTCTTTCAGCTGTGAAAACTATGCTTATGTCCCCACGCTCACACTAGATGGTGCAAATTTAAGGAAATTTAAGGAAAACTACCTGTTCCTTTCCTGGTCTGTTCTCCTACTCTATTCCCTTAAACCAACCTTCCTTCCTTCCCCCCTTCCTCCCTTTTGTGAGCTTTATGAAATCGTTAGCATTAAGGCACCAACTTATTTTAAAGTCATCTTTTTTTTCTTTTCTTTTTTTTCTTTTTTTTGCCAGTCCTGGGGCTTGAACTCAGGGCCTGGGCACTG